TGAGAAGGGTAGTAGTTTAATAGCAAGAAGAAATAAGGAGGAATACCCTCAAAGCCAACACCCTGGATAATACATTAGGCCTATTTCTTTTGTTGCTGTTTTTTTGGTTCATTTTTTAATCTACAAAAATGTGTGACCTAGATCATCAATTGAATGTAAAATTCTCTTTCTATAAAGTAGATATTAACATATATATAAAATGTGGAGTTGAGGAAGGCATCCTAGAGATCATTTTATTCAGGTCCCTGGCCCCAAATTCAGGAATCCCTTTGATAGCATCTCTTATGGGTAAAACTTAGCTTCTGCCCCAGAACTTCTAGTAAGAGGGAAGAAATGTTTCTAATTGTTATAGTGAGTTGTTACAGAGCTCCTATGGGTTGGGAGCCTCCCACTGATGAGAGTTCTGTTTTCAGAAGCTACACAAAACAATGCTGTTTTATCTTCTACATAAAACCTCTTCTAATATATGAAAACTTCTGTTATGTGTCTCTGATTCTTATTTTTCTTTGGTATAAAATATGCTTTTCAATTAAATTGTAAGTGAGTTCACCTAAAGTTCACTTTTCAACTAATTTTTTTTTCAGTTAACTATAAGTGAGCTAATGAAGGGGAAGATATGGTTTAAAGTTTTGTATCTTTCTTATTACCAAGTATAATGCTTTGGTTATGTAGTAGGACTCTTAATAAATGACTGTTGAGGTTGGGCATGGTGGCCCATGCCTGTAATTCCGGCACTTTGGGAGGCTGAGGGGGGCAGATCACCTGAGGTTGAGACCAAACTGACCAGCATGGAGAAGCCCTGTCTCTACTGAAAATACAAAAAAAAAAAAAAAAAAAATTAGCCAGGCATGGTGGTGAGAATGCCTGTAATCCCAGCTTCTCGGGAGGCTGAGGCAGGAGAATTGCTTGAACCTGAGAGGCGGAGGTTGCGGTGAGCCAAGATCACACCATTGCACTCCATTCTGGGCAACAAGAGTGAAACTCCATCTCAAAAAATTAAAATAATAAATAAATGTTGAAATGAACATTTAATACCATAAATAACAATCTCTCTCAGAGCATGGAGTTGGTGGATATATGGTATATCACATAATTAACAAGAATTTCATTTAAGTTTATGGTTTATGTTTTGTAAGTCAACAATGATTGAATACAATATTATCCAAGGTTTGTGTGTATATATGTGTATAAGTCTTGGCAAGAGACAGGGAGAGAGTGAGTGTGTGTGGTTTACAAAAATGTTAGGATAAATATTTAAGGAATTTTGATAAAATTGGCTCTATGTTAGTCTGGGAATTTTGTGGGTGCCTGTAAACATTGTTTAATGCTTACTCTTAGGGTCTTTCCTCATTATTAAACTTATCTGGACAGATGAGATTAAATAAAACAAACATATGAGTGGAAGGGCAAATTAGCATGAATTGGCCTAGTTTTATGTTACTGATTATAAAATTGTGACAGTGTTTTGAGGACACTTGTATTAAACATTACTGTATCAACTTTCCCTAAAGTTGGCTTATACCTTCTGAATAGAGAACTAAATAGCCATTTCTAACATGATGTTTTTAAACAACAAAAAAATCAAGGCAGAGTTATTTGTTTTGTGCAGGCTTTTGGGCAAAGTTTTAACAAATTAGTCTTTGACATTTCGGTAAATGTTAAAATGTCTCATGGCATTTTAATAGGATTGAGATTTTTCTTGCCCTTCTTTTACCGTCTTAAAGTTTGGGGACTTGGCAGAAAATCTTGGGAAAACTGAAATTTCACTTCTCCCAATGTGGTATTGCTCATCCTAACTTAAAATAAACAACAACAAAAGATGAATTTATGCTGGGCACAGTGGCTCATGGCTGTAATCCCAGCATTTTGGGAGTCTGAGGCAGGGGAATTGCTTGAGCCCAGGAGTTCAAGACTGGCCTGCACAATGTGGGGAGACCACATTTCTACAATTTTTTTAAAAAATTTGTCCAGATAATTTATTATTATTATTATTTTTTAAGAGACAGGGTTTCACCAGGTTGGTCAGGCTGCTCTCGAACTCCCTACCTCAGGTCATTCGTCTGCCTTAGCCTCCCAAAGTGCTGGGATTACAGGTGTGAGCCACCGTGTCCCGCTTTTTTTTTTTTCCTTTTCCTTTTCTTTTTTTTTTTGAGACAGAGTCTTGCTCTGTCGCCAGGCTGGAGTGCAGTGGCGCGATCTTGGCTCACTGCAATCTTCGCCTCCCGGGTTCAAGGGATTCTCTGCCTCAGCCTCCTATCTACAATTTTTTTTTTTTTTTTTTTTAAATCAGCAAGGTGTGGTGGCCCATGCCTATACTCCAGCTACTTGGGAGGCTGAGGTGGGAGAATCACTTGAGTCCAGCAGATTGAGGCTGTCGTGAGCCGTGATCTCACCACTGCAGCCTAACTTCGGTGACAGAAACAGGCCTTGTCTCAAAAAACAAAAAAGAAAGAAAGAATTTTGAAGATAAGCTGTGGTTACAATGCTTTTTCCATATAAATAATGCTCAGTTTCCAAAGAAAGTTGCCAAGACGAGGGTAGCATTTATTTGCTTAGTTAAAAAGCACATGAGATGCAGATTAACCTCCAATATTACATGTTCAGTGTTGCTTCCAAACAGTTGGATACAGGAACTGCTTTGACGAGAACAGAGAAGGGCTCTTTGATTGTGGCCGTTCACAATAGGAAAAAAAGGTTCTTTTATGTTAAAGAGGATCTTTTTCTCCTTCGTTAAAATAGTATTATGGGATATGTTTAAAAATTTTTTTATTTAATTATTATTATTTTTTTTTTGAGAGACAGAGTCTCACTGTGTTGCACTAACTTTGTGACTTGGGCAACTTCTCTGTGCCTTATTGTCCATCTGTAAATACATATTAGAATTGTACTTACTTCAAAGATTCACTGTGAGGATTAAAGGAATTTTTGTGTATACTTAGAGTAGTCTTTCCATATGGCAAGGGCTTAATACATTTTATGGTGAATAAAGGAAGATGACTTTTTGGTGAATCATGGGAAAAATTCTCAGCTTCGGTATCAGAAAACGTTATGCCTCTCCGGAAAAATATGTTTTAGTTAATCTAAAAATATAGTAAACTTTAAAGTTTAATATGCTTCATTCTTGCTTTAGCTGCTAATAAATAAATTTGGAACCAAATTCATGGTTACCTCTACCAACATACAGGACCAGATACGTTTTCTCTGTGCTCATTTTATTAATTATTGTTTTATCACCAAAATTTCCCCTTATACTAGGATTGCTGGATAAAATACATGACATTCAGTTAAATTTTAATTCCAAATAAACAATGATTTTTAAAAAATAGTATTTTTCAACTATTGCATAGAAAATGCTAACACTAAAAATTACTTGCTGCTTATCTCAAGTTAAATTTAATTATCGACCTGTATTTTATATGTTAAATCTGGCACCTTTACCTTTTCTATTATGTTCATTTATTATTTAGTTGCTTCAGATCCTTTGTGGAATGATACTGGGAAATAAATGAATGAATAAATAAATGAAAAAATGAATTAAAAAAATATGCCCTGGGCAGGGCACGGTGGCATATGCCTGTAATTCCACCATTTTGGGAGGCTGAGGTGGGCGGATCACAAGGTCAGGAGATTGAGACCATCCTGGCCAACATGGTGAAACCCTGTCTCTACCAAAAATACGAAAATTAGCTGCGCGTGGTGGTGAGCGCCTGTAGTCTCAGCTACTTGGGAGGCTGAGGCAGGAAAATCTCTTGAGCCTGGGAGGGGAAGGTCGCAGTGAGCCGAGATCGTGCCACTGCACTCCAGCCTGGTGACAGAGTGAGACTCCATCACAAAATATATATTTTCTTCTACCCAGGTGCATATATATATATATATATATATATGATGTGGAAGTGATATGACATGGTACTCATATGAGATCCTAGTGGAAGTGTGGAAATCACTGTAATTTTCTGTAGAGCACTGTGTACATATATATATATGTACACACACACACGTACATATATATATGTGTATATATATACACACACATACATACATATGCATACTCCTGGGTAGAAGACAACTTTGGAGATATTTTCTTAATCTCTGAGGGAAGGACTTTAGTATTTCTCCTCTGTAATGACCTATTAATAGAATTACAATCTATAATTTGTAGACTGGTCTTTTAAATTGATACCAAACATCCATGATTTTCTCCCTCCATTTCTGCCTCTCTCCCTTTCTCCTTTCTTTCTTCTCTTTTTCTAAAGTTTTTTTTTAATGTTAAAATTTTTATTATTACTTATTATAGATACATAATAGTTGTAACCTTTCTTTTTTCTTCATTTTCCTGACTTCCATTTATCTTCCTTTCTCTTTCTTGTAGCTCTTCTTTCATTGCTATCCCAATGAAAATGAAAAATTTGGTAGGGTTTTAGATTCACTTATATTAGAAAAGAGAAGAACTATGAGAAAAGATGAAAGGATTAGTAATTATTTAGCTCAGTGGGGGGAAGTCTGAGTACTGCAGTGACTTAGTATTAGTACAAAGTGATTTTTCAAATTCTCTTGGATCACTAGTAGAAAGGTCCCATATATTTGTACCTTTCAGGCAATATAAGGTAACAGTAGGAATTTATGTGAACTTTATGTGATAAATATGGGAGGAACACATTACTGGCAAGGACATTGGGATTCATTATAATGCTAATTTCAGGTAAAATTATGATATTTATCCATTTGGGAAATTCACTAAGCAATTTATGATCATAGGGATGAGTCACAAAGTACATTCTAAAGTTCTCTCCCAACTATTTCAAATCATTCTCTCAATTTACAGCATCTTCTAAAGTCTTTTCTTCATCAGTTTGTATTTTAGAGTGAAATGCACGATGCTCTAGGGAATTAATTACTTCTCGACAGTACTAATTCATGTTGCCTTATTTGCCTGTTGTAAATGACTACATGTACTTTATTTTTAGTCTTCTCAAAAATGTCCCTGTTTTCTCTGTTTCCAGGAGGCTGCTACAACTCATGTAAAAAGCAGAAAATAAAATGAAGATTTTTCAGTGCAAGATGCGGTACTGGCTGCTTCCGCCTTTTTTGGCAATTGTTTATTTCTGTACTATCGTCCAGGGTCAAGGTAATTGAAAACTTTGAGAATCAGTAGGATCTGGGACTGTAGCCTTCTTATTTCTGATTATCACTTTTATTTTATTTATCCTAATAATATGTGGGCTTTTACTGAGTTTTACCAACTGTTTGCACTATAGAAATGTACACATCTTTGATGATGTTTACAGCCTCACCAGTGGCAAAGCATAATAATTTTGTGGCAATTGGTTAAATAGGTCATTCATTTTTTAAATCTTTTTTTTATTTTTTGAGACAGTCTCGCTCCGTCACACAGGTGCGATCTCAGTTCACTGCAACCTCCGCCTCCTGGGTTCAAGCAATTCTCCTGAATCAGCCTCTCGAGTAGCTGGGATTATAGCCATGTGCCACCATGCCCAGCTAATTTTTGTATTTTAGGTAGAGATGGGGTTTCATCATATTGGCTAGGCTGCTCTTGAACTCCTGAACTCGTGATCTGCCTGCCTCTATCTCCCAAAGTGCTGGGATTACAGGTGTGAGCAACAGCATCCAGCCCATTCTTTTTTTTTCCCCCTATTTATTTATTTTATTGCATTTTAGGTTTTGGGGTACATGTGAAGAACATGCAAGATTGTTGCATGGGTACACACGTTATCCAGAATTTGCAAAGAACTGAAACAGATTTACAAGAAAAAAACTAACAAGCCCATTCAAAAGTGGGCAAAGGATATGAACAGACACTTTACAAAAGAAGACATACATGAGGCCAACAAACATATGAAAAAATGCTCATCATCACTGGTCATCAGAGAAATGCAAATCAAAACTACATTGAGATACCATCTCACGCCAGTTAGAATGGCGATCATTAAAAAATCTGTAGACAACAGATGCTGGAGAGGATGTGGAGAAATAGGAACACTTTTGCACTGTTGGTGGGAGCATAAATTAGTTCAACCATTGTGGAAGACAGTGTGGCGATTCCTCAAGGCCCTAGAAATAGAAATTCCATTTGACCCAGCAATCCCATTACTGGGTATATATCCAAAGGATTATAAATCGTTCTACTATAAGGATATGTGCACACAGCCCATTCTTAAAGTGCTTCTGAAAAGCCTGTGCTAGTTTAATCAGTGAAAGTCAAATTTGTATGTTACAATATCAATTCTGTTAATAACACCCTATTAATTAAATCAGTTTATGAATAGAGCCCTGTTTTTATAGCTCTATTAATAAAGTAATGTGAGTGTGTATGTATCCTAATTATGTCTTGTCTCTTACATAGTGTACAAGGTAGAAATATCACTTCATACCTGGTCCAAGATTTTGCTCCTTTTCTTAAAAACTGAGCACATAGTCTGAATGTTATAAGGACCAGGTATGTTATTTGAAGCATTCCTAATGATTGCTAGTTTGTTTTAATTAAACTTAATTTGTGAAATCTACTGTTTGCATTCCTAGGATCGGAACTTTTATTTTTAATTTTCACTCATTTAAAATATATATATATTTTATTGCACTTTAGGTTCTGGGGTACATGAACAGAAGATGCAGGATTGTTGCATAGGTACATACATGGCGAATGTGGTTTTCTGCCTCCATCCCCGTCACCTGTATCTGACATTTTTCCCCATGTTATCAATCCCCAACTCCCTACCCCCTGCTGAACCTCCCCTATTTCGCCCCAACAGACCTCAGTGCGTGATGCTCCCCTACCTGTGTCCATGTGTTCTCATTGTTCAAAAACCACCTATGAGTGAGAACATATGGTGTTTGATTTTCTATTCTTGTGTCAGTTTGCTGAGAATGATGGTTTCCAGATTCATCCATGTCCCTATGAAGGACACGAACTCATCATTTTTTATGGTTGCATAGTATTCCGTGGTGTATATGTGCCACATTTTCCTTTTCCAGTCTATCATCAGTGGGCATTTTGGTTGGTTCCAGGTCTTTGCTATTGTAAACAGTGCCGCAGTGAACATACGTGTGCATGTGTCTCTATAATAGAAAGATTTATAATCCTTTGGATATATACCCGGTAATGGGATTGCTGGGTCAAATGGAATTTCTATTTCTAGTTCCTTGAGGAATCGCCACACTGTCTTCCACAATGGTTGAATTAATTTATACTCCCACCAACAGTGTAAAAGTGTTTCTATTTCTCCACAACTTCTCCAGCATCTGTTGTCTCCAGATTTTTTAATGATGACCATTCTAACTGGCATGAGATGGTATCTCAATGTGGTTTTGATGTGCATTTCTCTAATGACCAATGATGATGAGCATTTTTTCATATGTTTGTTGGCCTCATATATGTCTTCTTCTGAAAAGTGTCTGTTCACATCCTTTGCCCACTTTTGAATGGGTTTGTTTGTTTGTTGCTTGTAAATCTGTTTTAGTTCTTTGTAGTTTCTGGATATTAGTCTTTTGTCAGATGGGTAGATTGCAAAAAAATTTTCCCATTCTGTTGGTTGCCGTTCACTCTAATGATTGTTTCTTTTGCTGTACAGAAGCTCTGCAGTTTAATTAGATCCCATTTGTCTATTTTGGCTTTTGTTGCCAATGATCTGGTGTTTTGGTCATGAAGTCCTTGCCTATGCCTATGTCCTGAACGGTTTTGCCTAGATTTTCTTCTAGGGTTTTTATGGCGTTAGGTCTTATGTTTAAGTCTTTAATCCACCTGGAGTTAATTTTAGTGTAAGGTGTCAGGAAGGGGTCCAGTTTCTGTTTTCTCCGCATGGCTAGCCAGTTTTCTCAACACCATTTATTAAACAGGGAATCCCTTCCCCCTTGCTTGTTTTTGTCAGGTTTGTCAAAGATCGGATGGTTGTAGATGTGTGGCATTGCCTCCACAGCCTCTGTTCTGTTCCATTGGTCTATATCTCTGTTTTGGTACCAGTACCATGCTGTTTTGATTACTGTAGCCTTGTAGTATAGTTTGAAGTCAGGTAGCATGATGCCTCCAGCTTTGTTCTTTTTGCTTAGGATTGTCTTGGCTATGCAGGTTCTCTTTTGGTTTCATATGAAGTTTAAGATGTTTTTTTTCCAGTTCTGTGAAGAGAGCCATATGCAACTTGATGGGGATAGCATTGAATCTATAAATTACTTTGAGCACTATGGCCATTTTCACAATATTGATTCTTCCTAACCATGAGCATGGAATGTTTTTCCATCTGTTTCTGTCCTCTCTTAATTCCTTGAGCACTGGTGTGTAGTTCTCCTTGAAGAGGTCCTTTGCATCCTTTGTTAGTTGTATTCTTGGGTATTTTATTCTCTTTATAGCAATTGTCAATGACAGTTCGTTCTTGATTTGGCTCTGTTTAAGTCTGTTATTGGTATACACAAATGCTTGTGATTTCTGCACATTGATTTTGTATCCTCAGACTTTGTTGAAGTTGCTTATCAGTTTAAGGAGATTTTGGGCTAAGACGATGGGGTCTTCTAAATATACAATCATGTCGTCTGCAAATAGAGACAATTTGACTTCCTCCTTTCCTAATTGAATACCCTTTATTTCTTTTTCTTGCCTGATCGCTCTGGCTAGAACTTCCTATACTATATTGAATAGGAGTGGTGAGAGAGGGCGTCCTTGTCTAGTGCCAGATTTCAAAGGGAATGCTTCCAGCTTTTGCCCATTCAGTATGATATTGGCTGTTTGTTGTAAATAGCTCTTATTATTTTGAGATACGTTCCATTGATACCTAGTTTATTGAAAGTTTTTAGCATAAAGGGCTGTTAAATTTTGTTGAAGGCCTTCTCTGCATCTGTTGAGATAATCATGTGGTTTTTGTCTTTGGTTCTGTTTATGTGGGGAATTATGTTTATAGACTTGCGTATGTTGAATCAGCCTTGCATCCCTGGAAGGAAGCCTACTTGATCGTTATGGATAAGCTTTTTGATGTGCTGTTACAATCAGTTAGCCAGTATTTTATTGAAGATTTTTGCATCTGTGTTCATCATGGATAATGGCTTGAATTTTTCTTTTCTTGTTGAGTCTCTGCTGGGTTTTGGTATCAGGATGATGTTGGTCTCATAAAATGATTAGGGAAGGATTCCCTCTTTTTGGATTGTTTGGAATAGTTTCAGAAGGAGTAGTACCATCTCCCCTTTGTATGTCTTGTAGAATTCGGCTGTGAACCCATCTGGACCTGGGCTTATTTTTGGTTGGTAGGCTATTAATTGCTGCCTCAACTTCGGCCCTTGTTACTGGTCTGTTCAGTGCTTCGACTTCTTCCTGGTTTATGCTTGGGAGGGTGCAAGTGTCCAGGAACTTACCCATTTCTTCAAAGTTTACTGGTTTGTGTGCATAGATTTCTTTGTTGTAGTCTCTGATGGTATGTCTGTGGAATCAGTGGTGATATCCCCTTTATTGTTTTTTATTGCATCTATTTGATTCTTCCTTCTTTTCTTTTTTATTAATCTGGCTAGTGGTCTATTTTGTTGATCTTTTCAAAATACCAGCTCTTGGATTTATTAATTTTTTGAAGGGTTTTTTGTGTGTCTCTATCTCCTTCAGTTCTGCTCTGATCTTAGTTATTTCTTGTCTTCTGCTAGCTTTTGAGTTTTTTTGATCTTGCTCATCTAGCTCTTTCAATTTTGATGACAGGGTGTCAATTTTAGATCTTTCCTTACTTCTCATGTGGGCATTTATTGCTATAAATTTATCTCTAGACGCTGCTTTAAATGTGTCCCAGAGATTCAGGAATGTTGTGTTCTTTGTTCTCTTTGGTTTTGAAGAACATCTTTATTTCTGCCTTCATTTCATTGTTTGTCCAGTCAACATTCAAGAGCCAGTTGTTCAGTTTCCATGAAGTTGTGTGGTTCTGAATGAATTTCTTAATCCTGAGTTCTAATTTAATTGCAGTGTGGTCTGAGAGGGTGTTTGTTATGATTTCTGTTCTTCTGCATTTGCTGAGCAGTGATTTACTTCCAATTATGTGGTCAATTTTAGAGTAGGTGCAATGTGGTGCTGAGAAGAATATATATTCTGTGGATTTGGGGTGAAGAGTTCTGTAAATGTCTATTAGGTTTGCTTGGTCTAGATCTGAG